TTGTATAAAAAGGAAGGCTTCGTGAAGCACTTCCCCAACGACCTGGAGCATAACACAAATGAGATGTTCAGTGCTTCACCGCTCCCAAAGCCCTCCTTCCCCTGTGAGGGACGTTGGTCCCACAGCCAGGAGAAGGGATCTGTTTGTGTGCTGCAGGGCCTCTGGAGTTATGGAGAGGAATGGATGCATGTCTGATAAGAGAAATCGTTAATTACTTTCAAGTGCAACCCCAAGTGTGCTGTGCTTTACTCAGCCTGGATCAAAGAACCTCTCTGTTCCCAAAATTCGTGTTGCATTAGCCAAAGCACTTTGGATGGCACTGTCAGAGCTCGAGGCTTACCTGTTTATAATGAACCATTCTGACTGTGAACGCTTGTGGATTCTGTGGAAATCAGACCCATATGGTGTTAGTCCCTCTTCAAGGCCAGGTGGTATGGGGCCCTGGTTAGCCTGATCTGGTGGGGGCAACCAGCCCACAAAGGGGGCCGGAACTGGGTGGGTTTTAAGGTCTCTTGCAACCCAACCATTTTGTGATTCTATAATACGAGTCAACCAGGTCTGGGCTTTTAGAGGTGCTTCCAACTGGGAAGCCCTAGCATTCTGATGGAAGATGTGCAGTTTGGGGATGCTGTGTGCCATCTACAGAAGCTGTATCGATCTGATTTCATTGCAAAGTGAAAAATCACTAATACTGTGGTCAGGGGCTCTGTTTCTGCAGCCCCTAAATATTTTCCATGGGGGCACCCGAGGATCTGCAAGCAGAGTTATTTGGAAAGGCCACAGCATGTCAGGAGTGGTTGGTGTGTTACTGTCAGTAGGAAATGGGTTGCAGCATTTATCCAAGCCCTGCACAGTGTAACTGGTACCTCCCTGAAACTCTGCACCTCTTCACTTGCCTGGAACAAGTTGGTCACATGGAAAGATGTTTCCTTCAAAGCTGAGTCATTTGGCCCCTAAACAGGGGGACAGAAAGACACTTTTTTCAAGGCACAGAGAAAAGCAAGTTTCAGCTCCGTAATCTGGCATCTCCAAGACAAAGAGGACCTTGTTGTGAAGGTTTTGGCAGAGCTGGCATCACCTCCTGCCCATTGCAGGTCCTGAGCCAATCTGATGGATGCTCAGAGCAGCTCCAGAGAACAGCCCTGGCTGCTGCAGGTGAAAGCAGAGCTGGGGAGGGGGCCCTGAGCGCTGTAACCCTGGGGAGAGCAGGGAATGGGGTCTGCATTTCTCATGCTCACAAAACGTCTATTGCTGGTGGATACAGAAAGTGCCTGAAATAGAAGCATTTTGGAAATAGTGAAAAAGGAGATTTCGGAAGGACTCCAACCGTTCTCCATGTGATTTGCTCAACCCTTCAGAGCATTTGTAGCTTTTTTTGGTGGTGGAAGCTATTCAGGGAATCTGACCTGGATTTTTACATCACTTTGGATGCCTGGAAATTGCACGTATTTAAAGCAAATAAGCCATTTGCTGAAAAAATATTACCCAGCTATGTGTAAGGGGAAAGCAGGTATTAAGAAAAATTAAACTAGCTTTAGTGCAGGTATTTTCTGGGCTCACAGTTTCCCATGTGTCACTGGTAAAGTGGAAGAACTAAAATTCTTGCCTGAAAAGTATCTGCTTCCTGATAGTAGTCAAATAGCAGATACATGAGAGGCTAAAATGCATGAGAGCCTCCGTAGTCACAGAGCCTCTAGCAATCTGTGACTCAGGGATTTGCCAGCAGAAGTCCTTGTGCTTAATAGTTCTCAATGGATTTTGTGCTGCTGTTCAGTGAGTTGGTCTAGCAGCTCCTTAAACTCATACCTGTGTCCACATCTGGCTGAGGGGAGTTTCCCCACTTCTTTTGGGATAAAGAACTTTTCTTTAGGATTGGGGAATATGTTTTTTCCTTTCCATTTGATGGCCATGGGTGAGCTTGCATCAGAACAGAAGCCCTGGGTCCTCACCCATCCTTTCCCTGCCTCATGTAATCATGCAGTTTGCATTTGTGCTAGTATTTAGCTTTGTGCACTTTGTTTCCATGTAAGCATCTCTTCAGATGGAAGAACTGACTTTGGGCTCCTTGGAGTGCCTCCAGTGATGCCTCCTCCAGCGAAGCACCCAGGACCCTGTTCTTACATGCCATGTTTTCCCTGTGACCAGTAGGATGTGCAGTGCTCCAGAGCACAGATGGCTTCTATGCTCCAGGGCAGCATTTCCAAAAATCAGCCTAGGCAGCCCCAGGGCATGCTGTGACCTACAGCACCCAGGCTCAACCTCCTTGCTTCTTTTATTTCTTGTCCTCTGAAAGGACTGCAGCTCTCTAGTGGTCATGCCCCAATGGTGGTATTCACCTGGTGGTGCAAAGTGCCTTCTCAACCCACACTTACACAGCAGAAGTTGACCAGAGCCCGCCGTGCAGGGCAGGGATCACATCTCCCCACATCCTTCAGTGTTCTCCACCCCTGGAAGATGCTCTAAAAGAGCACAGCCTGTTTGGCAAAGCACTGCTGTTTGCCGAAGCCCATTGAATATGTGTTGGTAGACTATAGATCTCTGCTTGCAGCACTTGAAGTAAATGAGATTGACACAAAGGACAGATGGACCAAAGCTGCATGTGGGCAGCAGAGTGCGTGGAACCACCGCCTCCAAGCCCCACCCTGCAGCTCTGCCCTAACCCAACCATCCCTGCCACCAGGGCCACTAATGGCACTGCTAGAGCTCCAATGAGCAGCACCCCAGCTATTCCCACCATCCCCTCGCCCTTGCCCTGCCCTGAGAGGCACTTCCATCTCATACCAGAGGACTATTGACCACTTTGCTCCCGGCTGCTGCCTGCCAGAGGTGCCCAACAATGCTGGGGAGATTAAATGATGTAGATAAATATTTCTCAAGAGCACAATTTTCTTTGTTAGTGATCAGGACAGCTTTTTGAGGACAAAACATGGATTTAGAGCTTAATCCCTGGCTCTTGCTGTGTCACAAGCACTCTCTAACCTTTGAAGAAACCATGGTCGTTTTGGAGTTTCATAGTTAGACAATACCTTTCTCACCCTCCTTGTAATCACCAGCAAGAGTTCTGGGGAACCCAAGACTCAGATGCAAATGTGTCTCCCTGCCTTGAACCTGCTTGCATGGCATGTCTCCAACTCTCCCGAGCTTGAGCTGGTCGGAGAAGTTCAAAGCAATCGCAGTCCCTCTGATACATGGATATGTTACAAATAAAAGCGATGATGCGTTTTAGCATAAATAAATATTAATTTGATTTTTTTTTCCCACCATTTCATTTATTTGCCATCTGTGGTTCTCCTGATTAGAAAAGCATGTCATCATTTAATCAAGGACAGGAAAGGACGAGCTGGGGCTTGCCTGGCTGGTCCTGCAGCACAGGGATCACCTTGCAGATGGATGAATCCAGTGGTTAATCCGTGGCTGACATTGCTCATTAAATTACAGGACAAGGAGTTAAAAGTTTGCTAGGGTGAGTTCAAACGATGCTGCAGAGCAGAGTTAATGTGTTTCTTAGCAGTAGGGATTCACATCCAGAAAGCCCTGGCTGTGGATTGCCAGCCCTAAATTTCTGGAGATATCCTCCAAACTGAGCAATGAGGTGTTGGAGAGAGAGGGGAAAACACAAAAGGCAGCCAGTAAAGTAATCTGCAAAGGGGAAAAAAACAGTGGACAAAAGGCTTTGCTGTGCCAGCATTACAGCCACTCAGGCAGCCACAATAGAGTGCTTCCTCCCCATTCTTTGCACCCCAGCCCCAGACATTAGTGGTTATTATCTTGCCTGGACCATATGGATGTTGACAAACAAAAATGCAGGTAGTTCTGATTTTTCTTCTGTGTGTGGTCAAAGGGACAGAGTCATCTGCCCTTCAGTGTCTGATTTTTCATTGTCCTGGCACTGCTTTATTCCCTCTGCTACACAGTATGAAACAAAGACCTGAATTATGGCAGAAGATAAATGGAGGCTTTGAGAAACTATTAGAACAATTAGGCACTGAGGAACAGAACGGGGGGAGAGCAGAGGGCTTGCTGCTATGAAGGCCTGAGTGTTAGGAGCACTGGGGAGGTTTGGAGCTGCTCCTCCAGATGGGAAGAGGGAGAGAAATGCAGAGAAAAGCCTGAAATGGCGGCAGCTACTGCCAGCAGCTGCGCTGTGACCGGCACTGAGGTGAGACAGCCTGACAGCAGCCTGAGTCTGAGCAGGGCACTGCCATGCCATTGCTGTGGCTCTGCACCTCCTGTATCACCTCTCAGGTCCTGTATCACCTGAGCCAGGGTGAGAGGGTGAGAAGTAACTCCCTGTCCCGCCAAGACAGAAGGGCAAGCAGGAGACTGGGGAAGAACATGGCCAAGGGGCAGCTCATCGCGAGTGAGTTCTGGGAACATGGAAGCTTCTCCCAAAAAGGAAGGAAGACTCCATATACATGCGCCTTTCCTCAGCTTCCCCTCCAGGTGACTGCTGGAGATGGTACTTGGAATTACCTACAATGGCCCCTTCTAAAATTACAAAATTTAGGTAGCAAAATACGACAAAGATCACCATGCCCAGTGGTCAACTCATGCCCCCCATGCCCAGTGACTGTGTCCCTCAGTGCCACTTCTTCATGTTTCTTGAAAACCTCCAGGAATGGTGACATCCCCATCTCACCAAGCAGCTTGTGCCAATACGTCACCACTCTATCGGAAAGGAAATTTGTACTGATATCCAACAGGAACCTCCTGTGGCACATCTTAAGGTCATTACACCTCATCCTATCTCTGTTAATGACAAAAGAGGCTGATCCCCCTTTACTACAACTTCTTTTCAGGTGAGTGTAGAGAGAGAGAGATAGTCCTTGCATATCTCCATAATTAACAAGGATGCCGCCACCCCATTTCCCCAGCAAACAGTCACCGGTCTGTGATGTCACCGTCGTGCAGCACGGTCACCACGGTGACGTTTGTGACCATCCCAGCCCACTCCCCACGCCTCACACCACGGCTGCCATTGCGCTCCATCCTGCTGCTGGCAGGACGACCCTGGTTGGCCGGGGAGACCGCTGCGGACAGAAATTTCTGTCAGCGCAAACAGTTGATAGTTAAGATGGAGACATCTTCATCAGAAACTCCTGGAGTTTCTGTTCCAAATGCTGGCTTGGCAGACCCGGCTTCTTCTGTCCCGCAAAGACGGGGTAAAAGAACAGCTCGGGATGCTGCCTTAGGACCGACACGAGAAGAAGACACTTCTCAGGGTTCACAGGAGCAATCCTGTGCCAAAAGACAACGGCTTGATCTTTCCACCAAGGGCTCCTGCAAAGCCCATGACTCGGCCTGCTGCTTTCTAACAAAGCTCCGTAACATTGTGGACAGCGACTGCTTCCAGTCCATCTGGTGGGGCGACGATGAGAACACCATTGTGATTGAGGAAACCCTCTTCAAAACAGAAGTGCTGGGAAGGACAGGACCTCTACACAACCTCAGCATCGGCTGCATGAAAGCCTTCGTTCGCCAGCTCCACCTGCACGGCTTCTTCATTGTGGACAGCGATTTGCCCACAGCTGCCTCTCGGGCAAAATGCCCAGCAGGCGCAGCCGCGTCTGTTTGCAGTGAGGTACGCAGTCCCCCTGCCCATAGGACACCTCTAAGGACAGGTGCATTGGTGGCCGGTCCCACCTGAGGGGGCTGCAAGTTGGTGGTATTTGGGTTTCCAAACCCGCTTTCCTGCTTTGACAATCCTAAAATTTCTGACTATTACTTAATGTAGCTTTGTCTTTTGCCATCTGGAAACGGTGGCATCTAACTCTTCTCCTCTGCATTTTGCAGTTGCTCTGCTACTACAACCCCAGTTTCAAGAAAGAGTACCCATGTCTGCAGAAATGGTTCAAGCGGAGCGCTGGCGTACGAAGGAGAGCATCAGCTGCATTCCCACCAGAGCTGGATTTCGAGGAGGGCCCCGTGAGCAGCCCTCCAAACAGACGGCGAGGCCCTGCAGCATCAGCGGGCAGTGAGCCCGCCGCTAGCAACAGCGGAGCTGGAGGCGACCGAGTTGGACACCAGCACAATTCATGCCATAGCAGATAGAGATCCTAGGTTCCAAGTGAACAGAGTAGATCAGTTCCAGAAATAAACATCCTAAATATTCTCCAGTTGCCTGTCCTGTTTCCGCATTTGACGGTGGCTCTTCCTGTGCCCAAGGGTGGGCGGTACTTCAGGGAGGTTTCATTTCTCTCACCTGGGCCCAGCAATGATGGGAGCACACGGCAGGAGCGGGGAGGTACGGGCTGTGAGCTGGAGCTGCCTCAGGTACCCGATCCCCTTCCTCCTCTCTGCCTGTGCTCTCTGGGTGGATGCCACCGTGGCAGTGAGCCATTCAGCTTGTGGGGATCCCTGGTGGTCACGGAGGTGAATTCGGCTGTCCTGCAAGCAGCATGTGTCTGGCAGCAGCACTGCCCTTCTGCTCACCAACCCGAGCCATGCTGAGCTTCCTGCCAGGGAGCGGCTTCCAGCTGTGGGCAGCTTGCTGGTGCAAACGCTGATTGAATCCTGCTCCAACATCAGAGGTGAGCTCAGATGCCACGCAGGTGGGCGCTTGGGAAATATTCATTGAATTCTGGCAGTAATCAGGGACAGCTCTCTGAGCTGCTTGTGTCAGACCTCCAAATGTTCAGAGGAGCCCTAAAGGGTGCTGTAGCAGAAATACCACATCCATCTCTTTTCCTCACTGAGAAAGTAATTAGATATAAGAATCATCTGCCCTCCTGAACGTCTGATAATAATCCCAAAGTTTAAGCCTTAGTCTGAGATTTTATCTGGCTTGGGAAGAGATTGTATTCCCCCCAGATCAGACTTTGTGGCAATGGAAAATGGGATCATGACTCTCCTGCTGGTAGAGTGGTGCGTAACAGTGTTGATATAAAAAATTTGTAATCTCTTTAGAAAGGAAAGGCCTGGTTTTGCTTGGCAGGTGTTATTTATTTTTCCTAGCAGAGGGTGTGAGAAGCTGCAGTTGGAATTTCTGGTTGGCTTCCCAAGATACTACTGTGACATTTTAATGATGTAATTCCCCTCAAAGGTGGCATTTTCACTTGTTCTCCTGACCTATTGCTGTACATTTGGTGTGAAACAAACTGCATTGCTATCAGCCCTGACATCTCAGGCCCAGAGAAAAAAATAAGGCTGTGATAGTGATGCAGTGAATGGGATCTTCATCCTGTTAATCCCAGCACACTCCAGAGCCATGGTCTCTTCAGGTGAACAAAAATGTGATGCTGTTCACCTTTGCAGCTCCCACTGGCAGAGGTCCTGATCCAAGGAGCAATGATTTGGTGATTGCTGGCCTGATTAGATCTTGCTCCTGCAAAGCTGCAGGTGATATTAGTGCTGTTTGGACCCTTTTCTCACCTTGCTTCGTCAGATGAGATGCACCAGGGCATAATGTGGATGCAAGTCCTTCCCATGCATCCAGCTCTCAGAAACACCCTGGAGACATAGGAGGTGCCCAGCGGAGGAACGGGCTTTGCAGGATGTCCTACAGCCAACACTCTGCTTTCTGCTCTCCTGGGACAAACCAGATGATGCTGGTGTAAAATGCATACGATGAATAACACAACTGCAGCAAAATAGTTTATGTAAAGCACTGATGTGGGAGAAGTTTCATAAGAGGTTTCATACCTCAAAAAGGCCTTTTGTCAAAAATAGAAGCATTTTCTCTGAGGAAAAAAAAAAACACGCAAGAGCTTCTTGCAGAGCGCTCCTATCGTGCTGGTGCAGCGACCCTTTTTGAGAGTGAGAGACTCTGCCACTTCTCCCTTCTGAGCAGGTTAGAGCACAGCCAACCCTAATGCTCAGCCTGGGGACACGGAGCTCCCACCCCAGGGGCAGGGCAGTCGTGGTCACTGGGAGAATCCAGGCAGAGAATCCAGGCCATGGAAATCAATGCAAATGACTTCGCTTGCAGAGTTTCAGCCCATTTGCTCTGTAGGAAGCAGGGCTGTCAGCAGGGACAGGCAGTGAGAGGGGTGGGATCTCACAGCTTAGGAGAGGAGATGGGGAAGGCAGCAGATGAGGGTTTTCTGCCTTTGGAGAGGATGTCAGCTCTGAGCAGGCAGGCTGGGTGTGATAGGGACACGATGAGAGTAGCCAGCACATGGGAACAGGGAGCAGTGCCCCCAGATAGGCTCTGTACCACAATATTTGGACTGGTTGTTTCCCTTGTGCGGGGAAAAACTCCATCTGTGTCTCCAATAATTATTTCTAGATGCTTTAAAAGAACAGCACTCCCTTTGGAGAAGGGCTCTGTTTGCATTCATAGCTGCGTGTGATTAGATGCATGCCACAGCTACCACTGTCATTGTAGGTTAATTATCGGTAGTAATTAATCATCACCGCTTCAGAAGGGTTTTCCTGCTGATTGGCATTCTCAGTTTTCCCCCTGCCAGTGAAGCTTCAGTTTGGCAGGGATTTCTCCAGTCCCAACAGGTGCTGGGAAGGTGGCACGGGAAGCTGGGTTGTCCTTCCTGGGGGATTCTGTAATTCTTAATTTAAATATAGCCAGCTGACATCTCTCTGTGCTCACATGAAGCTTTACACACAGTCTTCTACAATAAGTCTTGCTGACTTTCTCTGACTGAGGGGAGATCTTCTTGCTCTCTTCCAATACCTGAAAGATGATTGCAGCAAGAGTGAGGTTGGTCTCTTCTCACTGGTGGCAGGTGACAGGACGAGGGGAAATGGCCTCAAGTTGCACAAGAGGAGTTTAGGTTGGATATCAGGGACAATGTCTTTACAGAAAGAGCTGTTAAGCACTGGAATAGGCTGCCCAGGGAGGTGGTTCAGTCACCACCCCTGAATGTGCTTAAAACCCATTTGGATGTGGTGCTCAGGGGCATGATTTAGTGGGGGTTGTTAGAGTTAGGGTAGCATGGTTTGGTTGCAGTTGGGTTTGATGATCTTTAAGGTCTTTTCCAACCTGAGCAGTTCTATAATTCTATGATTCTAGGTAGTTAAGCAGCAGGAACAAACCCTGTGAAATATCTATCTGGTGGTAGCATATCAGTTCTCAAACACCTGTAGGCAACGTCAGCTTAGAAGAGGAAGAAGGAGGTATCAGGAGGATCCAGGAGGCCACCCCAAGGATGGAGAGCCCCCAGGAGTGCTGCTGGCTGCAGGGCAAACAGACATAACCATGGCCACAAGCATCCATGCCTGGCAGAAGACACTTCCAGCATCGGCCTCTCCACAACACTTTGGTTTTCTTTCTTTTTTTCTGGCAGATCCATGTGCTGGATCCTAAAATGGGGTCAGGCATATGGGATGGTGGTGTAAACAAATCCAACTGGCTCGAGTTCAGGTTCATAAGAAACTCAGTTGCCTTTTTATCTTTTTCGAACCAAATCTCAAGCATAAATGACACGGACGAGGCACCTCCTGGTGCCTGCAGCTGCTCCCCAACATTGCCTTTCCCATCCCTGTTCCTGCTGGTGGCAGGGAGCTGCCAGCTGAACGCCAGCCCCCCCGCAGCCCCACTCACATCCAGCAGCAGTTCAACCAACTCAGAGCGCTTCAGACTCAGTGAATTATTTTCTGACAGAATGTTGGTTTATTGGGAAATTTCCGGCTGGCTCTAATTGGGACAGCTGTTGAGGCGGCAGTTTTCCTGAGAACTAAAAGTTGCTTTCAGATGAGTATGGCTCCTAAAATGGTGCTGCTTTGATAGCTGCTCACTGCCTTTCTTGTCTGATTACTGAGCTTAGCATCTCCTTGCGAGCTTTAAAAAAAATCCACTTTGCCTGTCTGATCTTCCTTTTCTCTTTACTAAACATTATCTTCTGTCCTCCCTCCTCCTTCAAGGAGAACCTGTCAGCTTCCGTTTTATCCTAAATTTGAGTTTTGCAGAAATTAACATGAATAGCATTTCACGTTAAGAGAATTTGTATTGTTTTCTATTTATTTTCATTTTTTAACTCTGTAGCAGAAATGCTAAGTCACAGCCTAAACCAGTGATTGAGCACCTGGTGGGAAGGCAGGGCCAACCCAGGGGAGCTCAGGTGCATGCAATGTATGTGAGTGACCAGAAGAGTGGAGCCAGGATCCACCCCTTCCCAGACCTCATTTAAGGGTTGGCAGTGGAGGTGTTGATATCCCACTGGAGTTTTATCTCTACCTGAGGCTTTTCCAAGGTGAGCAGTTTTTCTTCCTTTGTTCCTGCATCCGTGGCTTCTACATTTGGGCTTGTCCTCTTTTGCTGTAGCCTAGGGTTGTGCCATCCTGCTATTATTGCTGTGCTTTCCATCATGTTATAGCATTGCATACCCCAAGCTTCCCGGTGTTCACAAACACTGTCAAAAAAGTCAAAGCAAGCATTCGCATTGTTGCCTTAGTATGGGAGATCCTGCCAAGAAAATTAACGGGGCCTGTCGCCACGAAGGGAACAAACTCATCTCGTTCTGCTGATGGTATGAGACACACCGCCTGCTAGCTTCTGTAATGACTTGCTTAAAAACAAAAACAAAACATAATTGTTTTTTTCTTTTCTTTCCTTCATAGACACTTGCCAAAGTAAAGGAGTTGGATAAAGGTGTATGAAGGCTCCCAAACAGCTCATCGGTCCCATAAGCTCTGTTTGTGTGATGAAAGCCTTTGATAAGACAGTATGATGAGCATCGCCAATTTGTTGATAGTGTCGGGGGAGGTTCAGGATGGATATCAAGAAAAATTCCTTCTCTGAAGGAGTGGTGAGGCAGTAGCACAGACTGACCAGGGAGGTGGGGGAGTCACCATCCCTGGAGGTGTTCAAGAATTGTGTTGGTGCCTCACTGAGGGACATGGTTAGTGGGCACAGTGAGGATGCGTTGAACTTGATGATCTTAGTGTTATTTTCCAATCTTAATGATTTCATGATTCTGTGATGTGGAAATTTTTCCTATATGGATTTTCAGCAAAATAGGGCAAATAAGAAAAAATTATCTTGGTATTTTGTTCAAGCCAAACAGTGGTTCTTTCTCCGCTC